AGAGCGGCTGGGCGGCGGCGGTCGGTGCTCCCGCGCCCGCCCGCGTCGGCGCCCCGGACGCCCGGATCATGGGCTGCATCGGCTCCCGGACCGTGGGTGGGTACCGCGGGTGCAGCGGCGCGGCCAGGTCTCCGCCCGCGCTCCGTGCCCCCTCAGGCCGGCCTGCGGCCTCGCTTGCCTCGCCCCGCGCCGCAACCGCAGGCCGACCTGGCGCCTGTATCCCTCCTCCATCCTTCAGCAACCCGCAGCATCCTCTCAGCATCCTTCCAACATCCTCTCAGCATCCTTCCAGCATCCCCGCAGCATCCTTCAGCATCCCTTTGCATCCTCCAGCATCTTTAAGCATCCCTCAGCACCCCTCCTGCAGCATCCCCACCAGCCCCTTCCCTGCCCTCATCCTCCGCCTCCACATCACCGTCACTGCTTTGCCCTGCCCGCGCCCGCTGTCCCAGGGCAGGCCCCCAGACCCCAGCCTCTGACTCGCCCTGGGTCTCATCTTCCACCAACCTATCTCCCTCTCTGACCCCCCGCTGTTCTGTTCCCAGATTGCTTTGTTCCTGTGCAGCCCCCCCCCCACTTGCCGGGACCAGGGGCGGGGGCTGGGGCTGGAAGGGGGTCGTAGAGCGGATGGGGACCTGCGGAGGCTGGGACACGCGGGCGGACAGCACCTGTCGGCGGGCTAGAGGCCCTATGTTTACTGTGACAGGAGCGAGCAGGGCGGGCGGCGCCTCTCCCTCTTCTCCACCCCTGACCCCCACCCCCTCGCTGCACATCCACTGTACTCCAACCCTCTCACAGCCCCCCACTCTCCCCACTCCTACATGCTCCAGCGACCTCAGGCTGAGGGAATAATTCGTGTTATTGTATAAACAAATGCAACCCTGGAAGCCTTGTTTCTCGAAGCCCCGGGTTATTTCCATGGATACCCCTCCGCCCGCTGTCACCCCTTCTCGAGGCCGCCCCTCCTCTGCCCCCGGCTCTGACTCAGCGCTCCCTTCATACGACAGGCGGCCCCCTCCCCTCCCACCCAGGGTCCCCTCTTCCCAGGCCACAGAGCCCACTGACCTCACTCAGCACCCTCAGCCTCCGGACAGACCCCTCTCCTGAAGCCCCAAGCGGGCGGAGGGCCCTTATACCATCTGTGTGGTTGCAAGCTGCGGATCTTGTCCAAGATCCCCTCAAAGTAGCCCTTCCCAGGGATACCCCTGATCCTGGGCTCCTCATCAGAGCTTCTGGTGCTGAACTAGGGCGGGTGCTCCAGCCCCCATCTGAGTGAGTCCTCGACGCTCCTCTCCCCAGGCCCTCACTAGGACCCCGCAGTCCTCAGACACCCCATCTCCTCTGGTCTCTGGTCTTCTCTTTGCCTAGAATGTCTTTTTCTATCTCTGATGCCACCACTTCAACCACACTTGTCACCACGGTCCCCATTCTCGAGAAAGACTGCCCTCTGGTCCCGCCGGGTCTCCACATCTCAGTCCTCTGTGGAGAAGGCTCGATCCTCGGCTTCTGGCCCCCACTGCTTGCTCCCCAGTTCCTGCCTCTGTCCCCATCAAGTATCCTCCAGTCCCACAAATTCACCAAGACGTGGGGAGGTTTCCCTAGAGTAGGCCCTCTCCCATCTCACAGAGTAATGGAGTAGCTTCCCCTGGGGCAGGTCTGCTCTCCTGGGAGAACAAGAAACACCCCCTCCATCCTCGGACAGAAGGGAGAATTGTTTTCCTGTGAGACCAGGCGCTCCCTCCTTAACAAACAAAAGGCCATATGACCCTTCTCCTGGCTTGGTGGAGTGAAAACAATGTTTTGGTTTTGCATTGTTACTCCTCCGAACCACGGACCGCAATGACCACGCTGAAGCTCTAGGGACAGGAAGGACAGGAAAGGCAGCAGGTGGTCAGAAGATGGAGCTGTTGATATTGAGGGGCTGGAGGGCCTGGGGTGGGTGGGGGCTCACTCTTCCACCTTGCAGGGAATGAGGTCATCGCGGTGGACTGGAAAGGCCTCAAGGATGTCGACCAGCTCCCCATGGACAGCACCAGCTCCCTGCAGGGGAGCAGCCTCCACCGGCCATCCACAGAGGTGAGCCCCCAGAGGCTCTCCCCAGAGATCCCAGGCAACTCCCTGAGCCCTTGTGGTCTGTAGACCCAGCCTCTAGTCTTCTGACCCTCTGGTTCTTGTGGAGTAAATTCTTCCTCATGACACCCCCTGGCAGAGCACACTCTCCCCAGGTCTCCTCTAGGTGTCATCTTCATGGGAGTCCCCCTGACATCTTTCCCACAGAGCGGCTGATGGATTTGAACCACTGATCTTTCTATTAATGCCCAAATGCAAACCACTGCCCTGACAGGGCTCCTTTTCCAGTTACTCCTGAATTCCATGACAACACACTCCAGTGACACGTCACAGACTAGTCCCTCATCTCCCTCAGACATTCCACTCAAGATCCCAATCCTAGTAGTTCTGTGGAAATAACGCCCTCCCACACCTTGATGAAGCTCTCTCGGTGGTGGGGTCACCGGGAACTGCAGGACACCCATGCCCTTGTCCTCTGTCCTCGCAGCAAACCCGGACAGAGTTCTCCTGGGACGCCATCAATGTGAGTGCAGACCACGCAGTCCCTGCCAACCCTTTACCTGCATAGAACAGTGTGCCCCCACCCTTACTAACGCTTTACCTTCATAGACACAGTGCGCCACCAGTTCATGCCAACCCTTCATTTTCATAGAACCAACCTAGAATGCTTTTGACAGTCCTTAACAACCCGCTACCTTCATAGACAGTGTCCCCACCTTTCCAACTCCTCACCTTCATAGACAGTGTGCCCACCTTTACCAACGATTCACCTTCATAGACAGTGTGCCCACCCTTATCAAAACTCCTCACCTTCACAGACATAGGGTGCCCCAGTTCATGCCACCTTCATAGATACAGTCTGTCCCCAAGTTATGCCAGCCCCTTTGCCTTTCTAGAAGAATGTGCCTCCAAATCATGCCAAGCCCTTCACCCTCGTAGAATAGTGTGCCCCAAGTCACGCCAATTCCTTCAATGTCACAGAACACAATGTAACCCCGTCCTTCCTTTCATAGAGCCATGCCCCCCCAACAGTCCCTGTCAACCCTTCACCTTCATACAACAGTGCACCCGCATCCCTGCCAACCTTCCACCTTCATAGAACATGGTGTGATCCCATCTCTACTAACTCTTCACCTCCATAGAAAACACTGTGCCCCAACATTCTCTGCGTCATGTTGTTTGGGGAGTATGGTTCTGCTGGACTCTCCCCTGCTCTAGCTCATCTCCTCCCCCTGGGAGCCATGCACCCTCCCAGGATATAAGCCCCCTGCGCTCTCATCCCTCCTTCCCACCCTCCCTCCCAGCTATCCATGGAGGACACCACGTCTATCCTCCCGAAGCTCAAGCGAAACTCGAATGCCTATGGCATTGGAGCCCTGGCCAAGTCATCGTTCTCAGGTGAGCCTTTGCCCTGGGGGTGCCCGAGCCCAGGAAGTGCCCTGAGGCTTCTGTCTGCCTCCCTGCCCCTTCAGGCCATCCATACACCAGGCCCGTCTGTCGTCTGTCCTTCCCACCAAGCCTTCCTCCATGTCCTGGCTGCCCTCAGACGCGGGTCTTCTTGTCACTGTGGAGGGCTGCTCCCGAGATGGGCGGGAAGTGCAGGTGCAGGTGAGGTGGGCTGTTCTCATTGGTATGGGACTCTCTCCCCCACAGGGATCTCACGAAGCATGAAGGACCACGTGACAAAGCCCACTGCCATGGGGCAGGGCCGGGTGGCACATATGATCGAGTGGCAGGGCTGGGGAAAGACCCCAGCCATCCAGCCCCAGCACAGCCATGAGTCTGTGCGCAGGGACACGGACGCCTATTCTGACCTCAGTGATGGTGAGAAGGAGGCACGTTTCCTAGCAGGTACGTCCACCCAGAGCCTCAAGGGACACAGTTTTGGGGTAACCAGAGACCAACCTTCCAATGTGCTCCTTCCTAATGGGGTTGACCTTTCCATGTGGTGACCACAAACCTACAATTCCTAAACACCCCAAACCTTCCAACCACTGACTTATTCTGATATGTGTCCTCTACTCAGTGTTCCCATCTCCAGAGAGATCACTGGAATGAGGCACCAAGTCTCCCACCCCATGGCTTCCCTGCTTGGTGAGACTGCCTGGTCCTCAAAGGGAAGGAGGCCTCGGGCTCTGGAGTCTCGGCTATACCCCATCCTTCTGGTGGAGAAGGCAGCCAGGCCTGGGGATGTCTCTAGCCTCACCCCACAGTGCTGTCCCAGCCCACTTACTGGACTCAGTGTCCGAGACAACCAGTAGACGAGAGGTGTCCTGGGTGATGAAGGGTGGACTTCAGGGTGGGCTGAGTCCCTGGTAATGGTCTCAATATAGTGACAGGTATGACATTCCCACAAGGGGACCATGAAGTTCACTCGGTGGTAGGTCTGGAGGGGGAAAGGTGAGGTGTTTCCGTGTGTGGTGGGTATGAGAAGCCTCAGTGGGAAGGAGAGGTAAGCAGGCCAAGGACAGGGACAGGCAGCTAGCAATGCAAGGGTCACTTCACTCCTTGGCTGGCCGTAGAGTGGACTCCAGCCCACAGTGACCCTACAGGACAGAGAACTGTCTCAGAGAGTTTCTAAAACTGAGAATCCTGATGGCGGCCGATTGGCCCAGCTTCCTCCCGTGCTGGGTGTGAACCACTGGCCTCTTAGCTAGCAGCTGGGTGCTGTAACCACTGTGTTACCCGGGGTTCCTGACGAGAGGTCTCCCCCAAGTCTACCCATTCTCAGGGGTCTGCACCTTCCAAGGCTCCACGTCACTGAACCCACTGAAGATTCTCCTCTTGGGAAGGTCTGCTGGTCCTGAACCCCTTACCTAGTCTCCATTCTCCAGACCAGCTGCCACTCCTCAGATGGCCCCGAGATGAACTTCAGGGGGCCCTAACTCCGATCTTAGGAGATGCCTCTAGAAAGTGCCGACATCCGACCTTCTGGGAGCTACTCATGGTCCTGTCTTGTTTCGGGGTGTGGGCAGAGGTTCACTGGTGCCACAAGGCCCCGGAGAACATACCACGTGGCTGTTCCGAGTGGGTCTGTGCATGACTGCTGATGGGATTTCCCAGGTGTAGTGGGCGAAGCTGTAGAAGGACCCTGCTGATTGTTTCTGATTGTATGTTCAGATGTACCCACCCGTGTGGGTTACAGCCACCCCCACCAGGCGACCGAGGCTAACAGTCTCCACTGGAGAACGCCATCCTTCTCCCAAGGGGCAGGTGATGGGTTCACACCGTTTTGGTTGATTGTCGTGCCCTGAGGCACAACGCCACCAGAGGGAGTGGGCTGTTGTGTACATTGGTTGAATGAGCCCTATTTTTCCACCTGCTTCTTTTTACTGAAAATCGAACTGCCAGTGAGTCTGTTCTCCTCACGTCAGCCCTCTGATCACACGCTTTCCGAGGCTAAGTTACAGAAGGAAAGCTGGGGGATTGACCGCCCAGACTTCAGGCAGGAGCCCAGCACATGATGGCCGTGCCACCAAGGCTCCCCCACAGCTCCCAGAGGGCATATTTCACCCGAAAGGCAAGGTCCTACCTCCGGAGTTCCAAGATGCAGCTCTGTGCGGTTTGAGGCTCATGGGGACAGGCTCTGTGACCGCTCCTCTCTCTCAGGGGTCATGGAACAGTTCGCCATCTCTGAGGCCACGCTCATGGCCTGGTCCTCCATGGATGGTGAGGACTTGAGTGTCAACTCCACCCAGGAGCCACTGGGCTGTAACTACAGCGACAACTACCAGGAGCTGATGGAGAGCCAGGGTGAGAGGGGTTCCCACGTGCAACCCGGGGGTTCTCCCTGAGCTTTCCTGGGGAGAGGGGTGCCCACTCCCGCCATCTCCTTGCCCCAGCACTGGCTCTCTCTGCCTCCCTGCCCTCCTTGCTCTGGGTTCTGGGGTTCACCCCCACTTCCTGGCTTCTGTGACACTGGCTCTCGGGCCCCATCTCTTTGCAGATGCCCTGACGCAGGCCCCCATGGATGGCTGGCCCCACTCCTATGTGTCCCAGGGCATGTACTGCCTGGGCTCCTCAGATGCCTGGGAAGCCAGTGACCAGTCCCTCATTGCCTCCCCGGCCACCGGCTCCTACCTCGGCCCAGCATTTAATGACTCACAGCCCAGCCTGCACGAGATGGGCCCCCCCCACCCCACTTCAGGCTTCTCTACCCAGGAGCCACCGCCTTTGCTGGGGCTGGACGCTGACTGGGCCCCAGGAGGGGGCACGGTGGACCTGGCCGGAGTCCCAGCTGAGGAAGAGGAGGAGGAGGAGGAGCGGGAGGACGTGGAGAAGAGGCCGCTGGGCCCGGAGGAGGAGGAGGACGCAGGGTGCCGGGACCTGGAGTCACTGTCCCCGCGGGAGGAGCCCGAGGTGTCCACTGCCCTCAGCCGCAAGGTGTCTGACGTCACATCCTCAGGGGTACAGTCCTTCGATGAGGAGGAAGGCGAGACCAACAACTAGCGGAGACCCCTCCCAGTGCACCCTGGGGCCAGGATGGGGGTCCCCGAAGCCTGCATCTCCGGCACCTGGGGATCTGAGGACCGGACCACGCATGAGTGACCTGTGCAGGCTGGGACGGTGACCACACCTGGGGCCTGGCCCCATCTGGCCCGCTGAGTCTTCCAGGAGCCCCGACCGCGGCTGGCACCCCGTCCTCCCTCGCTCTTGCTTGTCCAAACCCGGCCTTGTCTCTGGCTGCAGCCCCGCTGGGTGGGCTGTGTCCCTGTGGGAGGATCTCAGCGTGCGGCCTGGCGTGTACAGACGGGAGAGTCACGGGGGCGGGGGCCCTGTCTGGAAGGCAGGCCTGTGGGTCCGTGGGTGCCGCCTCCTGCTGCCCTCGATCCCCCAGGGGAAGGCACGCAGCCCCAGCTTTTCTTGGCCAGAGTCAGCATGAGGGCGCCCTGCCCCCACCTCTCTGGAGCTGTTTACACTTTTCTCTTCGCCTTTTCTACATTTTTATATCTTCTCGGGGACTCAGGGCAGAGTCGGGGAGGGTGGCGTGGGCACTGCCAGGGTTGTGGTTAGGGTCCCCAGGAGTGGTGAGGCTCCTGTATCCTCTGTCCTCTTCAACTCCGCCCACCAGGCTGCACAGGGCCACCCAGGACTGGCATCTGATGGCAGAGGCAGGGGTGGCCTCCAAGGGACCCTGGACATGCCCTGCAGCTGGTTTGGGAAAGTCTGAGAGGAGTGGTCCCTGTCACGTCTTCCCATTCCTCCCACCCACCTCCAGTCCCTGGGACTCCCCGCAAACCCAGTGCCCAGGTGTCTGTTCTTGCCATGTCGCCCTCCCAGCCTCAGGTGTCTACTGTCCCTGCTGTGTCCCTGCCCGGGCCGTACACTTGAATTTCTTTGGAATCAGACTGTGCGTGTCAAGCTGTTTCTGCCATCCTCCCCACCTGTCCCCTTCACACATGGGGTCCACCTCTCCTGGTCTTGGGGGCCCTTGGAGAAAGAGTGGATGCAGGGAGTGGAGATGAATGCACAGTCGCCCAGGACCCCACTTCCAGAAGCTCTGAGGAGCAGTTGACCTATCCACTCTGGCCCTGGGCCCCCACCTGAGGCTCCTGCCCCCTCGTCCAGCACGTAGCCTCGCCCTCGTGCCCCACTGCTTGTCCTGGACTCCCCAGGGGCCATCTGTCTGTCACAGCCACCCTACCCCAGAGCTGGGGAGCTGAGGAAGGAGTACCAGCATAGTTCACATGGGGGCTCCGTGCCCCTGGGCACTGCCCCTTGCTGGATGGGTCTGTCATGGGACTGGCCTTGCTGGGCAGAAGCGGGCGCGCAGGGGTAGCCCAGCCTCTGGACTCCTCTGGTGCTGGGTGGTGCATGGGGTTTGCTCACACTTGGGGGGGCATGTGCAGGAGCTGTTGGGGCGGGGGCTGCTTTCCTTTGGGGCGAGGCTGTCCGGCACGTCTTTCACAGTCCTGGGGGGACTGTTGTTTCCGTTGGGTTGGTTTTTTTATTCTTGCGAATGAAACTGCTCTTGCTGAATGATTTGGGGGGGAGGGGCTGCACTTTTAATCAATTCACTTTATTAAAAGAAAGTCCACCTCCCGTCCTTCCCTCCCTCCCCGCCCCCTTCCTTCTGGGCCTTGTGCTAAGGGGGGACTCGGGTGCACTCGCTGCCCGCCTCACCCCACCTCTACCTCCCTTCGCCGTCTTCCAGGTCTGGGGTGGCCCGCTCAGAAGGCGGTCTCCTGCCAGGCTGGAGATCAGGCACATCTTACAGAGACGTCTATAGAAATACATAGAAATATTCTCGTGATGCACCTGCCCTGCCCCGCCAGCCTCGCAGCCCGAGGCGGAAGTGACCTTGGACCAGGCTGCGGCTTGTCCATGGCATAAACGACGTGGTGGCATCTCCTGGCTCTGTGTGTCATTCAGGGATGGGCCTCTGGACACTGAGGTGGGAGGAGGGGCTGCAGGAGGCCAGCAGGAGCGTGGGTACCTGGGTGGAGAGGGCAGGCTCACATCCACACTGTCGCTGATGCCATGGGGCCAGCTGACTCCTCAGGCGGGGGCACCTGGCCGCCCCCATCTCCATGGAGCTCCCAAGCCCCTCCCTGGCAGGGACGCTGGAAGAGCTGGCCTTGAGGAAGGGGCCATCCATGGCGAGCAGCTGGGGATCAGCCACCCTCCTGGTTCCTGGCAGGCAGCCCAGCTCGGTCAGCTCCAGTCTCAGTGGGCTGGACCCAGCGAGTCTGTGCTCTGGGGTGATGGGGTGCTCTGTGGTACAAAGGCGAATGTGTTTGGCTATTGACCAAAGGCTTGAGTCCAGTCCACTCAGAGGGACTGCAGCAGAAAGGCCTGGCCATCTTCTACACAGTTAGCCACTGAGAACCCCACTGCAGGGGGTCCTCTCTGGCATGTGCAGGGATCAGAGATGGCACCAGCAGCTGCAGACCAGACCCAAGGGTGCGGGAGGCCAGTTGGAGAGCACAGTGGCTGCTGACCTGGCCGTGAGGGGCTCAGGGAGGCCAGCTGCCCCACTCCCTGACCACAGGGCCTCTGCTCTCAGATGCACACTCCACCCTTCAGGCAGGGCCAGGAGGGCACGGCGGCCTGGCCCCTCAGTCACGGTGGGTCTCTGGGTGACAGGGACTTCACATGGCGGGGTCTGGGTGCAGGTCCATCTGAGCTGTCTGGGAGGCTAGGGTTTCCTCATCATGCAAGCATGCCCAGTGGTCACAAGGGGGCCCCCCACTGCTTTATGGATTGGGGAACAGAGAGGCATAGCCAGCCAGGTGCTGGATGGGAGACTAGAGGGGCAGAGCCTGGGAGCTCCATGAAGACAGGCCCCTTGCTGGGCTCAGACCTTGATTGTCCTCCAGGAAGGCCAGGCCTGAGAATGGCCACTGCTCTGTGCCCAGCTCAGCCATCCTCCTGACCACTAGCCCCACCCCCAGCCCCCAGGCTCAGAGCACAAGCTCATCCTCATCCTCAGAGTCCGTGGACCGTAAGCTGGGCCCCTGCAGGACGTCCCCCAGCCCCTCCTCAGGCCCCGGGCCCTCCCCCAGCTCCAGCTCTTCCATCTCCCCCGGGCTCTGAGGGGATGGGGTGGCTGGGGGCTCTGGGGAGGGCGAGGGCACAGGCGACTCCGGGGGGTCGGGAGCTTCGGTCCCAGGGGTCCCAGGGGCTCCAGGTCCACTCCCAGGCAGGCTCCAGCCCTCTGCAGGCTGGGGTGGCCCCCCAGCGCTTTTCCGCTTTGAGGTTGTGGCCCGGAAGCTGGCGAGGGGTGGCCGGAGCTGCACCCCGGACTTGGTGTGGCCCTCGATGGCCTTCTGGAGCTGGGGTTTGGGAGTGAGGGTGGTGGAGAAGAGAAGGGTGAAAGGGGAGTGAGGAGGAGGAGGACCAGCCAGAGGGAAGGCAGACCATGACCTGCACCAGGGGGAGGGGCAGTGAGATAGGGAAGAGGGGCTGTTGTCCACCTCCTCCTCCTCCAGGTCTCAGTGGGCCCCCTCTCCCTGCATGCTGGGACCTAGCCTGGTCTAGTTGGGAGAGACCCCTCTGGGGTGCACTCAGGACCAGGGCACAGGGGTCCCTCCATAATGGGTGAAGTTGTCCCTCCCATCTTGGGTCCTAGGACTGGCTCACCTCCTCCAGGGCCAGCACACCTCGGAGCTTGCCCATGCTGGTCACGTAGGCCAGGTGGAGGCCCAGGAGTGAGAAGAGCGTATGTGTCTGCAGAAGATGGGCAGTCAGTGCACTCCCCTCCCCAGGATCCCACATGGTGGTCAGCAGTCAGCCCCCATCCCCTCCCTGGAGATCCCTCCACCACTGGTCAGTGCACACCCCTCCCTGGGCCCCTGCGCCAGTAGTCACACACAGTGCCCCCTGCTTCAAACCCCTGCACTGCCATCAGTGCTCAACACTCTGCCCGCAGGACCACCAGCACCAGTGGCCAGTGCACAGTGCCCCCCTCCCCAGGACCCCCTGCATTGGCGGTGATGGTCCCCCAGTGTTCACACATGGTAATCAGTAGTCGGCACACACCCCATCCCCCGTTCGGTGGTCAGTCCTCCTCCCCTGCGTGGCGGTCAGTGGGCTTGCCTTATGCAGCGTGGTCTGCTCCACCAGCTGGAACGGGGACTGGTCAATGCAGCAACAGTCGAAGCACACAGGCTGGTCCAGCTGCTCCTGCTCCCAAGCTGCTACCTGAGGACACAGTGGTCACCAAGCCCTTGTCCTCCAGTCCTGGACATCAGCGTGCACCAGGCCACCACGCACTCTGCCAAACTCTCATGCCCAGGCGAGTCTCCCCTCCCTGGAACCCACCCATCCCTCCTCTCCCCTCCCCAGCCTGCACATCCCCACACATACTCCCCAGACCCCAGGGCTTTGGCAGCACTAAAGCCAGGTGTCACCAAGTCCACCTGTACTCAGCGGTGTGAGCAGAGCTGGTGCCTCAGGGCTTTTCTGGGAGAAGACTGCCAAGAGTTTCTCCCGAGGTGCCTCTGGGCGTTCATGGACTGCCAACTTTTCCCGCCACCTTGGACTCCCACCTCTCTCCTCGCCTCGCCTCGCCTCGCCTCCCCTCCCCTCTCCTCTCCTCTCCTCTCCTCCCCTCCCCTCTCCTCTCCTCTCCTCTCGCCCTGGCCAGTAAGGGAGTAGCTGTCCATTCGTCCTGTAATTCCGCAGGAGCCCCCACACTGATATCCTGAACCCAGCCACAGGGAGGTCCTCTCTCAATTCCTCTGCAGGCCACTGGCTATCCCACGTTCCAAGCGCTATGTTCCTCTCCACACCACCAGGCCCTCATGGGCACTGCTCATGCAAGTCCTGTGTTGGCATCCATCAGCCTGGGTGCAAGGCCAGCCCTGCGAGTGAAGGTGACAATGACCTCTGCAGACGGTGATGGAGCTAAGTGCTTGTAACCCTCGACATGAGACTGCCCGTCTTCCTCCTGGGGAGCAGCTGGTGGACTTGAAACACTGACCTCGCAGGTAGCAACCCAGCATGTAAAGTGCTACCCCGCCTGGGAACAGTCTGTGCTGGGCCACGCTGGAGCCTGGTGTGACCAGAGCAACGCTGGCTCCTCTCTGGGGCAGAGGCCCTCAGGAAGGCTCACCCGGGCCCTGAGGTGACTGCAGGGGTCCACCTGGGGCCTGGCTATCAGGTTCAGCCGGGGTTTTGAGATGCCTCATCTGGCCATGTCTTCCGGATGGTGTCTGAGTCCACCTCTCCATCTGCTCGTCCTGGTGTCCAGTGTGGGGGCGCAGTGATGCCCCCCTACTCATCCACATCACCGGGGAGAGACGTGGGCTGCAGGTGACCGTGCTGGGGGTGTGGGGAGCTGGCTTCAGCCCACCTGCTCGCTCTCGTCTCAGAGCCCCTGGTCACTACTGGGCGCATGTCGTCCACTGCAGACAAAACTCAGCCAGAGTGACAGAGGTGCATGTGAGCCTCAGGCCACACACGGGGTCACACACGGGTCACACACGGGTCACACACGGGGTCACACACGGGGTCACACACGGGGTCACACACGGGGTCATACACGGGG